ATATGAAAATCGGCCATCACGTGTTGTGTCGAAGTGGACGATAGGCGGTGAGTTATCGTAACAGGCTGCTGTCCAGCGATACGGCAATGATCGCCATTTCAACGATACCCCGTACCGCTACTATCTCTAAGGTCGACTCGATCAGACGACCTATCACTGAAATCGATAATTGGTGATCGCCGAAGGAGAACAAAGATCTACACCAGTGTCAGAGTTACTTTAGACCTCAACTATCTGAAGCTGTTCACCTGGGACACGGCGATTCTTCTCGTCTCGAGCTGCTTGAGAAAAAGCATCTCATAAAGCTAGGTCAGTACTGTACCTAGAAATTTACTTGTTCCATGAGTTGTGGGAACATGCTGACCAACAGGTCTCTACTTTATCCTCTCAGACAAAAACAAATCTGACTTGAACTTGCGAACCTCAAAGAAAATGGCTAACGTGTCCTGGTTGGCTTTTATGGTGCTCGACCAGGAAATTTGTTGGCAGCTATGAGAGCGATAGCGACGGTCCGATAGCATGAGCCCATGAGAGTACCATATATTCGGTTTGACCCTTGACTAGGACGAGTTCCTTTGAGATGACTGAAACGCGATCAAAAGTTCACACAACGGTAATTCAGCAATAAATAGCAAATACGTTAACGTTCGAGTCAATACTTCGAAAAGCAGGTTTGCTCGGCCACCGGTTGCAATCCATAATACCGCAATGCACCTTACGAATTCTGTTGTGAAAAATTGGATGTTCATCTCCCACGCTTTCTCTTCAGATTACGGAAGATGGCTAACCGCTTTGCACAACAAGTACATATTTATTTATTTATACACTCATCTAAGTGCGCCAATAGAGGGAATTGAGGACAGGTGTACAACTACAGGAGAGTCTAACCAAGACCAAGATAAAACGAACTGAGCTGAGCCAGCAGTGACGACATGCTGAATACCAGTATCCGTTCCAGGGTAAAGGTGTAAAAGAACTCATCCCCTTTCTTATAGATCTTTATTCACACTAACTATGTGGGAGTAGCCAACTGGTACCGAAATAGTTGGAAACGCAAGAAATCCGATCTACTGAATCATATAATGAGCAACCAGTGGCTAAGCAAAATAATCATTCAGCAGACCTCGGCGGAGGTATTCAGCACGGTTTATCCAACGTCAGGGATATCCAGTCCATTTTTCAGTCCTACCTAGTAAATTATTTTCTGATTTTTAAGAATGTTCAAAACACCGTCTTTATGAGGTTATAAAGCTGCGCATGGTTACGAATTTAGTGCATGGCAGCATAGTCCTGAACTAAGGCTTTTCTGAGTAGAGTACGAGAGCAGCAACACTACATGATCAACCATGCGAGACGAATTAGAGCACTAATACGACAGAGGCAAACAGGATTAGCTCTAGGAAGAGGTCTACCACTGATATACAACTTGAGGCGTGTGGGCCACTATTACTTTACCTACGTTCAAGATCTTTTTAGACTTGTCCTTCTTGCCGAGGATCGGGTCTCTAAGGATTTCACCACGAAATACATTAAAAGCTCAATGGGAGCTGTGAAACTGAGCAAACAATGAAATCGAAATAACTTTATGTATAGGTCAAACATCTCCCAGGGTAAAATGTACTTCAGTCAAGTGAGAAAGCCTGAATCTCAGAAAATTCACAGCAAATTCTCTATGAAACGAACAACAAAACGGTTCTTGCGATATAATTAAACAAAAATGAAAGGTGACAACAAACATAACAATAGCAAAAACAGACAATCCATACTAAAAAAAACTAGCTTAGAATACCACCGATAATTCGCTGATTAGAAGCGCGACTTCTGTGACTCCCTGCGTCTTTGGGATGTACCGCTTTGGGCAGCAGTCGCACCAGTTCCACCCCAAGCCCGTTTACTGTGGCTGTCAGATTGACCCGCACGTCGATCGCCCTGAAGCTTGGGTTTGATACCCTATAAGGTTAATTACTTGCAATAGGAATAGAACATTTTTATAGTGTTTCGGACCCCTAAGTATAAAGTACCACCAAGTTATCAAAGATAATGCATACCTGGAAAACACCACCGCGATCACCTTTCTGTTTATCACCCTGGCGATCGCTGCGGCCCGGGAACCACTGGCCTGGGCCAGCGTAACCGGCTCTTCCAGTGCGAGGTTCCAGAATCTGAAAACATACAACTTCACTCACAATGTCCCACTAACATAAGCCCAACGAATTGTTAAATCTCAGAATCTAGTTGCTAGAATTCCAAACGAAAAAGATGGGTAAAATGAAAAAATGAATCTCAAGCAAGTGAGCTCTATGTCCTTATTGAAATTTTGGTCAACATTAAGAAAGTATGAGAAATAATGTATACCGTACCTGTTCATTGTTATCTGCTAATTGTTGTAACTTATCAGTAAAGTTGAGGGCAATCATCTGAAGGCGTGACGGTTCTACACGGTGCATCATCAGACAATCAGTAGGCTCATCAAGCGTTGCAGAGAGCTCTTCTTGAATGATCATCTTGCTGCAAAGAAAATATTGAAGAAAATTACAAGTAGAATAAGTACGTGATGTTAGGGCCCTATATCCACCTGATAACGCTGTGAACTTGCTTCTTGTCCAACTCGAATAACGTAGCCAGTTTCTCGAGTGATACTGTAGTATAGACTGTAGAGTACATAAGCAGATATGTTCTGAAATGACCGTTTAAGCACTTTGGTAAAATTAGTGCACTTTGAGCAGACGGAGGGATTACTCAAACAATAAGACCAAAAACTCTAAATTTAGCTACTACAAGGTCAAATTTCACTATTACAAAAGCTAACCTCAGTGATTCTGTCTGAATTCGCTTGACTACCATTTCTTTTACTCTTTCTGAATTTCGGAACAGATTCCACACCTGGAAGTCTCTTCAGTTAGGCAAATGCTTAAACGCGAAGAAGTTTTTCCTATAATTGTTACATGACTTCGAAACATCAAAACAGAAAAAACAACCGATTCAAGTGAGGGAAATGAAATAGGAAACTTCCAGGTACCTTTTGATTCATTTTATCGTTGACTATGTAATCGCGGCATTTTTTCCAGTCACCAGCAAGCATTGCACGAGAAGCAGCAACAACGTGCTCCCGAGTGTTTTCAGGAGGACCGATAAGCGATGACTTAAATAGGAAGTGATGAGTTTGAAAAATGAGATATAGGTATATGCAAGGGGAAGTTTAGTATACACTAGTCGTGTAGAATCAACACTATAAAATAACATCAAGAAAATGCAGAGAGTTAGGAGAGTTAAGAGAGTTAGGAAATTGTCGGAGGACAATGAAATTGTCGGAGGACACATTAAAAAATATACAAAACATCAATTAAAAACATGGTTTTTACCTTCTCACTTTGCTTCAACTGATAATGGAAACTTCGACTAAGCAATCGTCGGCGCATTTCAAATTCGCAGCTAGCCATATGAGGAATTTCCAGCAACATTGAACAAATAAGATAAACACATTCCATCAGTTCTACGTTAATGTGCATATGGTAAGGGAT